CAAAATGTAAGGGATGGCCTGAGATCTGAAACTTGCATGATAACAATTTTCCCTAATGGTTTGTCATCTGTCTATCGAAAAGCTGACCAGCTGAGCTGTGAAGCTTCTTTCTGTATGCTCTACAGAATTGAAATACCAAAATGAATCCTTCACCCACTGAAGAATATACAAACTTTTTTTCCCTTTTCTGCAGTGGAAATGTTGAGTAAAAGTGAATCAACAAAATATTTTACTTAGCTAGCTGGTGCTCTAAAATGTCTTGCTTTTTAACTTTACCTTGGTTAAGCACAAATTTCTGGTAAAACTATATAAAATTAAGTGCTGGTTAACTTCTTTCTGAAGTTTTTCAAGATGGTAGACTTTAGTCTTTGATGTTGCATCTGCTACTCTGCCTGGCTCCAGCTGCAATAATAACTGTTCTGATGATGATAACTTTTGTTCCTCAGCTTCACTTCAGATTTCTTTTATCTGGCTTGCTGACTTTTAGTGACCTTTCTCCCATCATGCTTCTCACAGCTTTCAGAAGGCCCCAGCAGACATGTTGAAGAATAGCCAGTTTTTGAGGTATTACTAGCAGGCTTACAGAATGAACATGGGCTTATTGGTGGCCAGCTTGGTAATAGCACAGCTTTCCTCACAACACAAAGCTCCTCAGAGGGAAGCTTTCATAGCTGACGTACAAAACACTAATCAAGATTAAATCACTGTATTCCTGCTGCTTATCTAACTGAGAAAGGCTTTAATGTTCTTGTCTTCTTTACAGATACTCGACCTGCAGGCACAGAGTCTACAGAAGAACATCTTAAGCACTTGTTTGGGACTTCAGACAAAGATAAAGCCCCTGATTGCAGCACCCAGTAAAGATAGTCTTAAGCTGCCCTTACAGTAACTACAGCCAGGATCTGCATATACAAAAGAAAATTGCTTCAGGTTAAAAACCATCAGCCTCTTCCATCTTTTCTGTCTTGGAGTTTCTACTTCCCACAACTGGGAGAGCTGGAATATGAGGACAAAAATGGAAAACCAGACGTTGCACCACAACCTGCTAATGTTCTGCTTTGGTGTTTTGATGTGGATTTTTTTGATGGCAAAGAGAAACTACTGTATTGAAGAAAGAAATGGAAAAAGTAATGGATCACAAACTAATCTACAGTGAAACTTCTCAGTCTTAAACTTCTCATTCTGTCATTTCTAAACCAGCCCTTTTCTGGGGTGTTGATATTTGTATCTTCAGACTGCTGCTGACTTGGCAAGAAATATTCTTTTTGTTTCTTAGCATGTGGTTTTTATACAAAGCTTTCTTTAAGCCAGCAGAAACTGCATTTTCACCACAATCTTGACCTCTTTGGACACTGCAACCAGAGTTACTGATCTTCTGTTTGTAAAGCACACAATCAAGGCTTCCTCTTAAACTCCTTAGAAGTTTCTGCAGCTCAGCCAATTATGGTACCATGAGTAACTTTGAATTTTGCATCATTTTTCAATATACTTGTCTGAGGTTTTTGTTGGGTTTTTTTTTAATAGTAAGCAATGGACTTAACACACTTCTGCTTCTCCAGTGAAGGGAAAACAAACCAGATCACTGGGGTAAGATGACTCTTATTAACTTACTTATCTGTATTGTGAGACCTACATTTTGTATGTTTTATATAAGGAGTTTTAACTTGACAATAAAACTTAATATTTTAAATATGTAAAAATGGTTTTGCTGTTCACTTGTGCTATGATCCAAGGATGCCGATTACAACATTCAGTGTGTAAATGTTACCAAATTACTCTTTTATACTGATACTTTATATTTTATCATTTCCATCATTATTCTTGTTGTCTCCATCCTCTATAACCTTCTGCAGCAATTACTTGTGCAGAAGTTTACTGTTGTCAGAGTTTTATTTAATTCTTTAGTCTGTCAGAAAATGGTTGAAAAAATCTACACCATTCTAAAACATAGATCCTCCTCTCTTTCCTCCCCTCCATGCTCTCCACTGCCAACTAAATGGGAATTGGGCACTCAGAACCTGATGTCAACTCCATTAAGGATGGAATCATCATCATGAGATGAGAAGGTCATACCTAAGAAAGATCCCTGCATCAAAAGCATCATCCTTATTTTATAGGAATAAATCTCTCAGTGATGCTAGGTCCTGTTTGGGTCACTGTGGTGGTTTGACATTGACATTTGGGGAAAGAAGTAAGAAAACCCCACAGAAGTGATTTCTTTGAGAGAAGCTGCTGGGAGCTTCCTCTGTGCCTAGGACAGGCCAATAGCTGGATAGTTCTGAGAGCTGACAACATTTTGCACCATTTAGAAACTAGGTCTGCCTCCGTGAATTCCACCTTTTAAAAACCACAAGCCCAGGAACTCTCGCTCTCTCTGGCTCTGGCCTTGAAAGGTAGCAGAGCTCTGGTGGGGCTGGCCCTGCTCCCCTGCAGCCTGGGGGAGGCCAGGCTGGACCCCAGTGGCTCCCAGGTGGTGGATGGGGACTGCAGAGCTCCAGTCCCAGGCTGGGCCGGGCCATGGCTGCTGACATCTCACCAACACTAAATCACCCCCGCCCCACACCGACAGCTCCAGGCCAAGGACTGCCCGCCCCCCACCAGTGGCTGCGGGACAGAGGGATGGGACCAGCGTGGCCTGAAATCCAAGTTTGTGATTGCTGTGGCCACTGGGCAAGAATTAACCCTTTAACTACATAGATGAGACCTGCAGACCTTGTTCCTCTCTCCAGGGAGAGAAAAGGATAGAGTAACAACATGTAGAAAGACAATATGAAAATACCAAGGTCAGTAAAGACAGAGTCAAGCCTTAGGTGAAAGGAGGATAACAGGATGCTGAATGGGGCTGAAATATTCTTCTGGTAGGGTCATGGAGATGGACAATGATATACTGAAGTATCTCCTTTAATTCATGAGTATGGGGGGATGAAGTATTCAAACTGTAGATCTGAGCAGAGGCATCTACTGATGAAGCCAAGCAGATGTTGGAGTAGCTGTGATCCCATAAGAAGCTTGAACAGAGAGAGAGAGAGAGATGAGATTGATGAAGACCCTTTGGCCCTAGAGAGAGAAGAAAACTTCTGTTCCCAGAGATGATCACAGATGCAGATGAAGAGAACCTTTGCCTTTGAATAACTCATCTTTGAAATAATATCCCATGAGTTCACGGCCCATGGACACACCTCTAGGAGGGCTGTGACAATGGGAGGAATGTCATGATGTACAACTTTTCCCGGGCAGCTGCTATTAGTGGAAATGAAAAGCCACGAGAAAACTTTCTTGTGGAGAAGTCTCCATGGCATGACAAGAGAAAACTACTTTCCCTATGAGGACTGATGAAAGACTATTGTATAGTTGGTACTGCTCTAACATCCCAGGTTTTGTCTCTACGTGGTCAGTTGGGAAAGGAAAAGGTTGGGCAGGGGAAGGAAAGGTGTTCTGGAGGTTTTACTTCGATGCTTCTTATTCTTGTAGTCCTGTTAATAAAATTCTTTATACCTTTTAAGTTTTAAGCCTGCTTTGCCCTTCCTCTAATCCGTATCTCACGGCAAGAAATGAGTAAGTGCACTGGTGATTTTAGCTAGTGCTAAAACCCACCACATTATTTGGTATGTTGGCCAGGAAACTCAAATTGGCGAATCTAAACCACTAAAGTCACTCAAACTGACAAGCAAATGGCTACACTGATACATTCCTGAGCATTCAGCAGTAACAGGAATTGGGGGAGTCACACAAGGATTATGTGATAGAGGTACTTCTTTAATAAAGAACCAGCCTTCTATTTACTTTGAATGGCTGAAAACTGCCAACTACTGTACCTACTAAGAAGTTCCAAGGATTTATCTCAATCTCTGGACTGGAATGTGTTTTGGAAAGTTTTTAAAAGTATGACAAGCCAAAAATATACAGGTTCTAAATACCATTACAGAGTTGGGCACCGCCATGTCTTCTTTCTGGCCACAGGTATTTGTTTTCTGACAGGGATGAATGCAAAGTGCTGGTGTGTTTATGGTGTTTTCTTTTTTTTTTTTTTTTTTTTTTTTTAGGTTGGTTGGATGTTTCATGGGTTTGTTTTGCGTTACTGTTTTTGTCTGGTTTGTTACTCTTTTTGTTTCCCAGTGTGATGAAAGTGATTTCTTTTGGCTACCAGCATTTTGGTGTTCTAATAGATGAATTAGACTAACTTCTTTTCTTCCAGAAAGGGGAAGGAAGATGTGTATATATAGATCTACTTCTTCTATATACAATTCCCAGTGGGTTTTTTTGTTAATTATAGTTTGCTTGGAACTACTAGATTTGGTGATTTTTCTGGTAATTGAACTAAAAAAAAGCAGAAAGTTACTGCAATAGGTCTGTGTCTGAATTCAGGTGGCAAAAAGTTTAGGGGCAGAAGGATAAATGCTTTTAGCAAATAAAGACATTAAAGATTTCATTTACTGGGGTGCTGATTTAGAAAGCCTTAAAAGCTGTAGTTCAGCAGAAAGACAGGATAAACTGAACTTTTGTGTATTTGTGTCCCAGTTTATCCGTAGAAGTGGCTTTTCTGAAAACAAACTAACTGAAGTTTAGGCAGGACACCAAATTCCTTAATACTGTCAGGTAGTTTTTAATCTGTTTTGAGCTTATAGCTAAATGCGTTTGTCCTAGAATTTTTCAGTCTAATGATACTAGTTCTGCTTTAACATATGCAAGTTAAACCACTAGAAACAAAAGATATCAGCTTAACAACAAAAAAAATAATCACATAAGTTTTGTCCTGGTTTGGAATTTGATAGTTTATATTGCAAAAAGACATTGCTTGGAAAAACATGTTTGTGGCCTTTTGGTGGGAATCCTCCTGATACCTTGAATTTGCACGGTAAGAGAGTCAGCTAATGCTGGTGATACTTTTGTGTCCTTTCCTGTGCATGAGAAAAATCACACATTTTAAAAACCCTGAGTTTCACTAGATGGCAGCATCTCAATGTTTCAACAGGAAATTACGTTTGTATAGAGAAACTTAGCAGTTGGACTACAAATCCCAAAAAGCTCAGTTAAAAAAAAGAAAACTAGAACTTCCTTTTGTACAAGGGTCGGTAAATATAACAAAGCTGTTTGAGATCTCTTGGTGAGTGACTATATTAATATTTGTTTGTAAATGCTTCATAGAATCACTATGGCAAAAATTCATAAAACCTGATTGTTAGATTGAAAAGGGTATTTATAATGCATTTTGCTTCCCATGTTTTAAGGTGATTTGGGGAAGTACTTGAACTGATCCAGGTGGCTTTTGGAAAGAAAATAATTTTCCATTACATTGCTTCAGAAGTTGAATCTGTAATTTGCTGAATTTGTAACCTTCAGGAAAACAGTTTTGCTGCAACTTTTGCCAGGAAAATCACCTAAAAAAACAGAATTTCTGATCAAAATAAGAGAAATTAATAATTGATTCAAAAAGTAGGATACTAAATTTGAGTCAGTAATCTTGAGTCACGGCATGGGTTTGAGTTTCTCTAGAGGATAACATTGGCTGCTAGCAAAGGGAAGGTTATGGCACCTTTATTTTAATTTCCAGGTGAAGTACTTGGTGTGTTGGATTTATGTGCATATTTAAAGACTTTGTTCTTATGACACCTTTCTACACTCATATCTACACAGACAAAGTTGGTTGGAGGATTATGAAAATGCAGGGGGTTTGCTTATGGGGAACTCAATTAAATAACTCCAGATACTACGCTCTGGCACACAGTAACCTCACTTTTTTAGGAAGTTCTTTGAGACTTGGCATTTGTTTTTACTTGTTTGTCTGCATTTCTGCATGCTGTATTTCATTAAACCTAACACAGCAGCTGAACAGGGCTGTATTTTGCCTTTTGGCTGCTCCATCCAGACTAAGGTAGTAATGCCAAGATGTTCCCTACTGCCCCAAGCACAGTCAGTGCCCTAAGAACAGGGACTAAGAGGCAAGATCAGCAGTTTCATTAACCCCCACACTTTCCTGCTTCACTGGGGCTGGGAACCTGCTGCACTGGAAGATTCCTAAGACAGCTGAGGGCAGATATCAAGGCCAGGGCATTGTGTCGAATGTATTGCAGTCTAGGACATGAAGAGTCGGTAGGGAAACAAAAGACCATATGCTTTCTGAGAATACCATGAACAGTGGAAACACTAGTTTACAAATTATTGTACTGCTGTTTCATCTTGGCTTTTTGCCTGTTTAAGAAAAATAAAATCCAGTTTCTGTTATAATTAAGTTTAGCTTCTGAGATCAAATGCCTTTTGACTTCTTGAGGTCCTTTATGTACAACTGGAAAAAAAAAAAAGGAAAAAAAAAGGTGGGGCAGCCCTGCCTCTCAGAACCCTGGATAACTGAGGGTCACACAGCAGCCAAACAGGACAATTGTGATGGCAGAGGTACACCCTGGATCAAGTCTAGTTTTGGGAATATATTTGCATCTGATTCCCAGAGGTGGTGTTGGCTTATCTTTGTTAAATTTCTGTGCCATCCTGTGCCTGCACAGGTCAGCACCATGAGGCGTCTGGATGGGAAGATCATCCTGTTGTCTGCGGCAGCACAGGGCATTGGCCGAGCAGCTGCTATTGTAAGTTGGAAAATGTTTGTTCTGCTGTGCCTTAGCAAGGTCTCTCATTCTAGCTTGTCCAAAGACACCTGCACCAAACCAGTTCTTGAGTCGATACACCATAGATGAAGCCAGACTATGCAGTGAAAAAATCAGGGAATAATGTAGCCACTATGCTGTATCATGCAGGCTTTGTGCTGTTTCAATTTATGAAAATCTTCAACTCTGAATGGAGATGTTAGATAAGGGTAAAAGCAAGATTTGAGGACAGCTGCAATTCTTTTTCTAACAATACAGGTTTGGTACTGTTTGTACCTTTTATCCAGTATCTCTGTTGCTTTGTTCTGGGAGAAAATAGAGATGATCGAGGGAATATTTCCTGGTCTAAGGCTGGATACTGTGGGGATCCCCTACAGTAAAACCAAGGTATTTTACCTATATTCATGACTGACATAATCAAGTTCACATGATACTAACACATTGTTCAAAATGAGCAAATGTAAGAAACCCTTTACAAATTTTGTTTGATTACTGTTAAACAGAATTCAAGGTACCTATTAACTTACAAGTTAGCTTCTAACTCCTTTTGTCCAGTTCTTCTCCTGCTACTTCCCTTTTCCATGGCAAATAAAGAATTCAGTAGAGTTATCTTGTTACCTCTGTAATGTAATCAACAACTCAGGAAAAGCTCCTGTAGCATTTTTTGCCAGGCTAATTAGTTTCTCATGCATGTGGTTGAGAGCACAGAAGCCTGCTGATCTCAGCTCTTACATAAATCACTCAGTCCAAGGAGCAGGTAATCTTCCTGATGGTTTCACTTTGTAAATACCCAACAACCCATAGAAGGCTGGCATGATTAATGTCACTGTCCTCTTAAGCTGCACTTGGGACACTTATTTTGAAGACTAGTAGCTACAGTCCAAGATGTCAGAATACTTGTGACAGACTACTTTGTTAGCTGTTGATTTATCAGTAATCACAATAAAAGGAAAGAGGCTTTTGAGGAGACTGTCAAGAATGAAGCAATGTCTCTGGTTAAATATCAAAAGTCATGCTGCTTTTAATATTGTTCTATTCCAATCATTTGCATACAAAGGATTTAGTTTTAAAAATCCTGGTTTACGACTTCTACCTTTACCTGTCAAATTTCATAATTTTATTTAAATCAAACAATACAGATATTTCTAGCCCTATTGCTTACTAATGCAGCTAATAAGGGCAATAAGAATATCCATTATCTTTCTGTTCTTATACTTTATTTATGGATTCCTTCCTTTAGGGAAAACACCTTAAATCTGTCTTATCACACAAAGTTACATAGTTGTGTGCTGATATTACCAGAATCAACTCTGAGAAATCAGCTGCCTTCAGCCAACTTCTATTTCAAGCCAAAAAGCACCTGGAAAGAAAACATTTTATTCCTGGTACAATCTGGAATATCTAAATATAAACTGCTTCTCTTGTATTCTCCAGGCTTTTGCTAAAGAAGGAGCCAAAGTCATTGCTACAGACATCAATGAGTCTAAACTGCAAGAACTGGGGAAATATCCAGGTAAATGGCCCTACAACAGGCCATTAGTTCAGCTCTTAAAAGTTTTGTGTAGGCTGTCAGAGATACATTTTGAGGATAGGAAAGCTTGAAAAAGACACAAAAATGAAAATATCCAGACTGATTCTTTCAGTGTTTGCATTGTTTTATTCTGTGGTGTGAAATAGCAGAGATTTAGCATGCAACATTGCAACATCAGCGTATCAGAATATTATTCTAGACACGTGGAATAACTGATTTTCTTGTGTCACAGAAGAAGCTGATATTTGTTTGCTAGAATAGCACCCATTTCAGTTACCTTTTGGCATCACTGGGCTAATTATCAAGTGCATCACTCTGGAAAGCATGGGATGCTTTTCTCTGATCAAGAGAACATCCCACTATACAAAAAGGTAGACCTAGTGTCTTGCATTTCTATGGTCCGTACTTGGCTTATCCTTTTAATGCATTCCTTACTCTCTTGTAGAATCCATATGTCTTCAGAAATCTAATTATAGCAACACTAGATTCACTTATTCTATTTGTACAAATGATCAGGCCTGAAGGTTGTTTTCCTACTGACACCACAGGAACATGCTTCAAGGAGCAGGTTTTGCACAGATGTGTCCCTAATCACAAGTGACACAAGTGGGACAGTATGTTAAAAAGTATTTTTTCAATATTGAAATAAAAAATAAGACTTGGATATAGTTTACAGCTGAAAATGCTTCTAACCTGATTTGAGAGAAGAAAGTGGATTTAATGAATTCCTACTAAAGGTTGACAGTAAAATACACAAAATCACAGCTGGCACATCTTTTAGCATGAGAATTAGTCTCTGCCAACTGGAGTTCACTGCAAGCAATCCCTTTGTAATTGTTTGGGAACTTGAGGGCTTTTCAGGTTCCTTCTGAGGGTGTTTGGGAAAGTGCTACAGTTTTTCCCTCTGTTAGTATACTCACAAGGAAAGAAATAATTTTCCATCTACTCAGAGCTATTTCCATCCTTTAAACCTATTAGTCAACCTATAATTCATCAAGATTTGGCACATTGAGGTCTTTGAATTTTATCCAAGAGAGGTAATTCCAATGTCATGTCAATCACCAGCCTGTAGTCTGATCAAATACACAAATCTCTTCAAAAGGGTCTCTATCATTTACCTAAAGCACAGAAAGCTTATTCATGGGCTTGTCGCTTTGGTTTCTTAAAAAAACCCAATTTTTATCCATTTCAAATCAAATTCTCCTTTAAGTTTGGCAACATTCAGATATTTTACAGTATTTAATGGAATCATATCTGCTGGGTGAGACTTCTGGAGGCCATGTAGTTCCATCTAGTGCCCAAAGTACCACTGGTTAGAGCAGATTGCTCAGGGCTGTGTTTAATCAAGTTCTCTAAGGATGAAATTTCCTCAATAACCTCTGCAGGATCCTGTTCCAGTGTGACTGCCCTCATTATTTTAATAATTTATGCAGAATCATTTTTTATTATTAATTAAATTATATAAAGCTCATTGATAATATCATCAACTACACAATGAGAATGTGACGTGTAATGACACTGTAAGACACATATAACTATTTCCAAGTGTTATTCTATGATAATTAGCATGAAAGTTCATTATTATTATATAGATTATATAATTCTTCTGTGTAAGAGTATAGTAGAATTCAAATGTATTTGGAATGTTTTTTTATGGTAAATTAAGCTAGCTCATCTGCTTGTGTCATGCTGTATAACAATTAAAACAGTTGATCATTTCAATTCTCTCCTGAAATTTTAAATAGCATGATATGCTGTTCCAGATTAACCATTGCACTAACTTAATCATTGAGTGAATTGAATTGTGCTATCCTCAGCTCATCAGGAAAGTAATCAACTAATCTTTAGTCAAATACATAGAAACAAATGCCATGTTGTATTTTTCTAGGCATTCAAATACGGGTTCTGGATGTCACCAAAAGGGAGCAAATAGAAAATCTGGCCAAGGAGATTGAAAAGATTGATGTCCTCTGTAACATTGCAGGGTAACCAGATTCTCTTTGCTACTACTGTTTTTCCAGTTTTCCCTGTCCTCCAGAACTACTTTCTATTACTTCAATGCATTTTATTTATTATGTTTGAATGGATTTTGTACTTTTAATACAAACCTTTCTTTGTTTTTATCAAAACTGAACTTCTTTTTCGCAGCAATATAACCCAGACCAAGATAGATCAGCTCTGGAACTTGTGTTTTCCTCACTCTATGGGTAGCCTGTACTGATGGCTTTGACCCTTCTAGCACAACAGTGAACAGTTTGACAGTCTGTTACTGTGCTTTTTTTTGTCTTCTATTGCCATTTATTTTGTTGCACGTATTGAGTCTGCTTTGTGTCCTTGGTACTTATCAGAAGAAATACACTGCTTGCATTCTTCAAAAGAACTCTTAACCCCCTCTTTTCAAGGTTGGAAAAATTAATTGCTAAAAAACAGTGGTGGGAAAAGGGCCATAGAACTGTAAACCACAGACAGTAATCTGCTTCATGCACTCATGCTAGGTTTGTTCATCATGGAACCATTCTGGAGTGTGAGGAGCAAGACTGGGACTTCACAATGAACCTCAATGTTCGCAGCATGTACCTAATGATCAAGACGTTCCTTCCAAAGGCAAGGCTTGGCTACCCATGACTTTTAGTCTCTGCTGCATTGCTGAAGTGTGAGAGATCAGAGTTGTTGCCACTTTGCCACTGTGACAGCATACAAAATACAAGTGTGCTGCTTTGGATAGGGGACCCCTTACATTACAGTGACCCTACTGTAAAACATTCTCTGCATTGCATAAGACAGACAATTTCTCTAAAGGATATGGTAAAGAAGATTTGTTTGGGGAGTTGACCTATGTAAACTAGCTAAAATACTTCAGACTTTATGCAGAGCAGTGAGGGAGCCATTGCAATACAGTGCTAACATATTATACTACAGCACATAGCTGCGCAATACCACTACTACAAAATATTTATAAATAATGTATATTAAGATTAATTTTATACAGCTTTGGAGACTATCTTGTGAAGAAATTCAAGGATGCTGATGCTAACATGCTGATTAGAGCTAGCATGAATTAGCTAACATGCTAATTCAATGAATGTAGCAGCTCAAAGATGCTTCTTGGTTTTACATAATCACTAGGTTTGGGCCTACAAAATCTTTTGGACTGAATAAGGTGTTTGCATCCCCATAAATGCAAAGGCCAGACACGAAAGCTGTGACCATGACTGGATGACAACTACTCTTTTCAGTATTGTTCCAGTTCTTTTTGCTTGGCTGGTTTGGCTTTTAGCTTGGGGGTGGGTTTTTTCTTAGTTGAACTAAATTTTCAAAGTTTGGGGTTTTTTAACGACTTCAGGCATATCAGGTTTTAGGATGCCTAAAAAAGGTTATAGCTTAAAGAAAATTAGCTACAATTCATAGATGCTAGGGTATTGTGCTTTAGTCTTCTCCAAAACAAGAAGAGTTTGAGTGGGCTCAATGAGTTGCTGCATTGGTAGATGGTACGAGCAGATGTCTGTGTGATGTAACTTCCTGTCATGACAAGAGGGCAGTGACTGAGAGGTGGCAACCAAGGAAAAAAATCCTTTCCTGCCATAGTTTTGAATCCTGACATGGCTCAAGGGAACTGAGTGAGAATTTCAGATTCTGCTTTACTGCTTCAGCCAACAGCACCTACGCATACCAATTAAGCTTTGTTGCCCTTTGTATCAAGTGCATGTAGAGCTGTTCTGTGAGTTGCTGTGGGCTATTTTGCTGAACCTGCAGATGACAAAATAGCTTGCATTTAAGTGACAAAAGTACTCTTTTGCAGATGCTTAAACAGAAATCTGGAAATATTATTAATATGTCTTCTGTGGCATCCAGCATCAAAGGTCAGTAGCTTGCTAGAATTACTTATATAAATCTTTAAGATGATGGATATACAATATAAATATTGCACAACTTTGAACTTAGAGGACATTCTAAATTCAAAGCTATTTCTAAATCCTGTGGAGGTATCAGTTAGGAAAAGAAAAGTGAACCCATTCCACTCAAATACAAATTCAAGGACACAGATGGAAAATTGTAGAAACTACAAGATTCTTATCTCTGAGCTTTTTCAATGTTTTGTTGCATCCTTTTTACCAGTATTTAGTAATTACTTCCAGTGATATCTTGGTACATCATGACAATTACCTAAGTGCTGTAACTATGCTATCAAAAGAAGCTTGATCATGACTGACAGATGGATTTCTGCTGTTCCTAAATCTTTGCTGCTTCTTACATTTTCAAGACTAGTCCCCAGACTTACACTATTGAAAGATTGTGTGCTTTCCTCTGGTGTATACCTGAGTAGAATTCTGGCAATCGGCATTCTAGCTAGCCTGCCCTTCTGGAGAGGCTACAGATGCTACAGGAAATGCTGGAGTTCAGAAGCAGGTGCATATTGAACAATCTTGTCTCTTTTTTTCTTTTTCTTTCTTTTTAACTATGTTTCTGTGCTGCCTTAACACGACCTTCTGTTAGGAGTTGTGAATAGATGTGTCTACAGTACTTCAAAGGCAGCAGTTATTGGGCTAACTAAGGCTGTGGCTGCTGATTTCATTGAACAAGGCATCAGATGCAACTGCATATGTCCTGGTAAGTGTTCTTACATTATTCTGTGAGCTAGGAACAGATACTAGAAGGCCAGATTGAGTTTGGCTTTTTTAAGAATAGACTTGCAAGTGGTAACTGAAGTTACCAGCAGTCTATAAGAACAGAGCATGCTTGAAAGGCTTAATATAGAAAAGTTGTTATTTTGTGGTTAAACTGGATGTTTAGTCTGATTAACCTAGTATCTGCACTTTATACATACATTACACACTATCTGAGTGGTTATTTTCAAAGATGCAGTCTAAGAAGTTAGAAGCAGGCAAGAGCTAGCTAACATTCTGACCATTATTTAACCATCCAAAAAGTGTTGAATCTAATTCTCAAAACTCTTGCCTTACTACTGAAATGTGCTCTGTTGGTAGCTTTGCAGTCTTTCTCCTGAATTACAGTACAAAGTTACATAAAGACATACCAATAGAACAAATAAACTTTTGTTGTGATTGCTGATGCCATTGATTTTTAACATTGAATTTAAAATTTTGCTTAGGAACTGTTGACACACCATCTTTACAGGAAAGAATCCAAGCCCGGCCTAACCCAGAACAGGTGAGAAAGCAATTTATTAGCTTGGTCACACGTATATATATGCTTAACTCTCTTTAAAAAAAGAATACATAGCTGCACTTCTGCCCATATTCAACAATGTCCTCAATTTCAGAGTACTGTGGACAACATTGCTGTCTCCTTTGAAAGTGTGGTCAGCTTGAACTCAAGACAGAAGATTTAAGGCCAGACTAGAAATGAAGCATAATACGGCTTAATGTAGAGAGTCTCTCATCCATGGAATCAACTCCAAGTGTTGGTTACAGTATCCAGTGCAAAATCAGGGAACATTTTCTATTGTGGCATGTGTCAGCCACAAGGTAGTGCAAAAATAGTACAGACAGGGCATTCTGGCCTATCCATTTCAACATTATTTGGGATGCTTCACCATCCCTATTATATAATGGCAAGTTCTCATTTGGAGGACATGGGAATATCTACCACCAAAGGAAGAAGGATTTATTCTTTGGCTTTATTCTGGAACCAGAGATTTAAGTGCTTTCTAAAAATCTAATTTTTTTCAACCTGAAGTTCCCATTCCTGTTGATTTTGTTTTTCTAGCTTTAATTCCCTACTTAGTGCAAGTAAGTTATGACTTATAAAGGAAGTTATGACTAGAGGCCTGTTTCCACTATTGCTTTTTACATGTCAATAGGCTGAAATAATTGCTTCTTTCTTTCTGATATACAAAATGCTTTTGTATATCCAGGCATTGAAAGACTTTCTAGCCAGACAGAAAACTGGAAGGATGGCTACTGCTGAAGAAGTGGCTCATCTCTTTGTGTACTTGGCCTCTGATGAAGTAAGTATAGACAACAAAATATCCTGTCACAGAATCCCATGCTACTTTGCTGCTTCACAGTAGAGAGGGTGTTTGTTTTGGGACTATTTATGTTCTCTTTGAGGTGGATTATTACAAAAATAAAAAACAAACTATGTTCTTTTACTGAGTTCATCCTGCAATACAAAAGGCGTTCTGAATGTTGACAGTGATTGCAAGGCATTATGTATTTGGTGTCATAGCCCGGTGGTTTCATGTCACCTGAGAAAATTGACAGACCCCCAGATCATCCTGAATGGTGAAGAGAAATGAGCTTGTCAGCTTTACCAAGCTTCATCATGTTTTAAGGAGGTAGAATTAGTAGAGCTGCTGGATATTTTAGCTAATGCTCAGGGTGATTCTGCCATTCCAGCATAAGGAAAACAACAGACCCACTGTCGCTGTTACACACCAGACTCTTGATGATCACTACAAACAGCACCAACACTAACGAGCACACGCCAATGTTATTTTTAAATATAAATTTACTGAGACTCTAAAACTGGACTGCATTTGTCTGGATGTGTGCAGCAGTCCTAATGTTCACGTAAAAATACTTCAATGGATTTAGTCCAGTATTAATGCTGCTATCCATCAGTAGTCTGTTTCTCAGTTTCATCTTGGTTTTAGTATTTCCATAACACTAGAAATTTTTTCCAGTCTGCTCACAGGGTTTTAAACCACGTGTAAATAGAATTCCATTTTCTCAATATATTCAGCATGTTTCAGCACTGACATAGGGAAGAATGTCAACAGCTCAGTTGCTTACCCCACTATCTGTATAATCTAAGTTTTTAGTTGCTTACCCCACTATCTGTATAATCTAAGTTTTTAGTTAGGTCCCATTAACTGGCTGACCTGGTCAGATTCTGCTTAGCTGGGCAGACCTAATAACATCATAGTGTGATGTGTTTATTCCTGTATGTAAGATATCTGAAGTCCAGCTTTTGTAAATTTGTACTCTGAGGTATTTTTGAAAAACAAAAAAAAGTGTATAAAAAGAAAGCAGATTTTTTTCATTTAAAGGAAAAGTGTTTCTCTGTAATTAAAAGCCATGGAAAGTTACTTGAAATCATTGTTTATTTTATGTAATTTCAGTCTGCCTTCTTACTGATTAACTTTTCCTTAAATAGAGAAATACTGGAGCAAAACATACTTCATGTGGCTTCAATTTATGGCGACTCAAAAAACATGAAAGAACAGCAGTTTAATGTTTAAGATTTCAGGAGGCCAGAAATATTATTCAAGTTCCAAAATCTGAGTTGTGTTTTCAGCAAAATCTGAGTGAAAGGAATTAACTATTATCTTTTTTCTCGTTTTACAAGGTATTTGGAAATTAAATACTCCCAATTAGATTTACATGTACAGGAACCACTATATAAGTGCAGTACTCTATCAGGTATGGATGGGGGTATATGTGAGAGGAGTATTCTTAAATACATGGCTGGACCTTCATGAATATGCTTGACTTGTAGACCAAAAGCAAAAGGAGTGGATTTTACCACTCTAGATAGAGCTGATATATTCCTCTCCAAAATTATACACCAATATTGGACAAATTCTGTAAAATCTGTTGCTAGGTGCTACACTTTAGTGCTCTATGCCTTAATATCAAGTACCAATACAGCTCACACTAAAGCACAAAGCAAAATTTCCCTGAAAGGGACTGTTTCTATAAGAGTATGTGCTGATGTTTCTGTTGTGATAGCACATGGTATCTTTCATTCATGAAATAGAAACCTATTATTGTCAAATTTCATACTCTGGGAAAAAAAACAGGTCCTGACCCAGAGATCTAAGGCGATGAATAATCTGAATTCACAAAGCATTTGTTTTGCTAACATACTGCTTAAAACCAACATGAATTATATGGTCTGTCTGCCTGTAAATATGGTTACCTTTAACATAGCTCCATTTATCCAGTTCATAAATGAAACTCTATGTAATTTAATACATATCTATGTGAGGGAGGAATTAAGGACTAAATGCTACTGAATATGATTCATCAGTTATCAAAGCACAGGAGAAATGTACAATATTGTGTGTGTTTTTCTGTAACAACAACTGTCATGTTCATAAAATTATTGCTTAAGCTTTTCAATATCAGCTGAAGCATTAATATAAATTATTTGATTTGAAAGATAATGAAACACATCTAGTTAAAATCTGGCCTCTTATTTTAAAATAATTGTATGTAAATGTAAATTTTACAGATGAGAAAACTATTGTGGATGTTGACTTCTTTTGGCTCATTATGTGTTTAACGTTTACCTTTATTCATGGTTGGAGCATTCTGACCTTGTCTAGTTTGTTTATAGGGATTTAGAGAATCTAATATTTCAATCAAGTGACCCTGGCAGCCAAGCAGGATCAAGTTGGGGCACAAATCCAAAGTTATCCAAAATGGCTCCAAAACTGTTCACTGACATAAATTCAAACATTAAAAATCATCCTGACAGGACACAGTTTCAATGGTTTCAGAGTTTAATACGAAGGCTAAAATCCTTCTTCTGTAGTAGATGCAGGAGGCTTACCTTGAAAAGGGAAAATTTCCCCACTGCAGTAACACAGGGAACATGTACTGTGTCTTCTGAAAATAAAAAATAAGAAAATAAGGATCTGGGACAAATTTCATTATACTTATTGCATATTGGCCATCATTACTTAGTGTTTGTAAGCTCACTTAGAAGTGATTATAGTTGATTGTAGTATACTTTTGCTGCTCAGAAATGGCTGCTGCCGTTGTTGTCAAAGCACTTGTGCAAGAACATAAGTACCACCTGCCTCTAAATTGCACTAAATGCACAAAGGGCTGTTTTAGTGGTAGACCAAGAATCTGGTGGACCAGAAAAGTAAATATCAGCAGAGCTTGCTGCCTCTTGCCTTATTAGCAATGCTTTTCGTGGAGGTGTTAACAATTGCAACTCTGAAATGTGTTCCAATGTCATGAGGTTTTCCAGCAGACTTGCAGGAATTATTAAAGGAAAGTGCTTCTTAATGCTCTCATGACCTAATTCCCCGGTCTGTTTTTAATGGAACTGGGTAATTCTCTTTGTTTTCCTTCCACCCCAGTGGTAATAAAAAGAGGCTTTTTGACTTTTCAGATTTTCAGTCAAACTTTTCTCTTGTGAGGGAGGGAGGAATAGACTTCCCTGATTCTGAGTCCTTCTGGAAAATTTAATCTGATCAAAAAATTCTTTGGTTCTCTCTTGGATTTGTAGTCAGTTTAGTTCTGTGCGATGGTATCAGGAGCAAAGTAGCAACATGTGGCATTTGACTCTGCTTTCACATGCACTCAGGACAGCTTGCAAATTCAGGGTTGAGACAGGGAAGGTCTGTCTCATTACCTCATGTGCACTTACAAATGAGGTGGATGAACTTGCTTTATCTTTAAGAAGTCGAAATGCCAGGAAGGGAACAACATAAATATGCGAGTTGTGTTTGTTCGGGGTGGTTTTGGAGATTGGTTGGTTGTGGTTTTTTTTCAATTCTCCTCCCCGCTCCAGTGCATTTTGCCTGTGGGCACCCAGAGCAGAATCAGCAACATCTCCTCACCCTTTCCAACTCCTCCAGCGCTGTAGCCTGGCTTAAAGGACCGCGTGTAGCTTCCCCGTGCATCTTCCCACAGCCATGGGAAAAGCAGCACTGAAAACCTTCTCGTGTGTACCGGATGCAGCGAATGCCACGGGGGCCTGGCTATGAAAGACACAAAAATCTTCCTGCTGGGTGTCCTGATGGGTATCCAGGGCCTTGGATGGACTCAGGTCTGGTCCATCGCTCCCACCGGCCTGACAGCTCGGACCACGGCGTGGCTCCTGCCGCCTTTCCCGCGGTGTCCATTCAGCAGAGGCATGCGGGAAGCCCCTTGGAGCATCCGCAGCCGCAGCTGCGGGCCTGTGGAAGCCGTGGAGCTGTGGAGGAGGCCCTGTTGCGCCGGCAGCAGCGGCGGGGGGAGGAGCCGGAGCCGTTCCCGCGCTGTCCCCTCACGGAGCCGGCGGGAGGCCGCGGGCAGCGGGGCCCCGCTCCGGGCCCGCCGTGCCCCAGGTGAGTTTTCCGCCGCTCTTGTGGCGCTGCATCCCCATCCCCTGCAGCAGGAGGGGTGACGGGGGTGGGAACTGAGAGCAGGCTTGGCAGGCAGGAGGCTGCTCCCGGGTTTACTTGGCGCCTTTTTGTGGATAATGATGGTTTGGGTGTTTTAATCGTTATTTATTCAGAGCGCCAGTCGCTCTGGTGGTGTTTGTGATATTTCGTTTGCATGGCTGTCTGTGAGAGCAGAGCAGAGTGCTGAGAATCACCGAGGCAGCAGCAGAGCTCATGCCATAGGCGTGCACGCAGTGCCCCTGTCAGCCAGCTCTCCCTCGCTACCCATTCAAAAACAGCTGAAATGAGAGGATCTAACACAAACCTTGCTGCTTTCGAAACGAGAAAAGTGTATTTTACAGGGAGGTACTAAAATATGTCTGTTACTTGTGCCCTCAATGATTTCTCAGTCACTGATTTTTGCTGGCATAGAAGGTGAAATTGAAAAATTAAAATAACACATCCCCCCACTCCCCCCCCCCAAAAAAAAAAAA